GTTCTTTTTCCTTTGTACTTCTCTTTCCTTTTCTGTTTTGGTTCTTTTTATTTCTGTGTCTTCAAGCGTACTTATTTGTTCTTCCATTTCATCTATTCTGCTTTCATTGCTTTTCCCAGAATTCTTTAGTTCTTCCATTAATTCTTTGATCTCCTGTATTTCTTTTACTTCCCTCTTTAGGGACTCAATTTCATTCTTCTGATCGTTGATTATTTTTCCCTTATCATTGTTTTCCTTTATGACTTCTGTCAGTTTTTTAATCACGGCAATTTTAAATTCTCTTTCTGGAAGGCTCAGAAGTTCTTCCAAGTTACTGTCGTTGCAATCTGGGGGCTGGTTTTCTTTTTGTGGTGTGCTTTTTCCCTGGGGAGTTGCTAGGTAGCGTGTGCTTCTTCTCCTTCCTACTGTCTGTTTTTTAATTTGCCGTATGCGTTGGGACACTGTGTTGCTGGGACTGGCCGGCATCTTGGGTGAGCTTCTCTGCTCCCCTCTGGTTCCTCCAGGAGTCATCTGTCAGTTTCAAGCAGTCTTTACTGGAGAAAGGTCCCTGTTCTAAAATGCCGATGTGGGGACACACTCCCCTGTGCGCCTGGTCTGCCCCGGCGGTGGGTTCCTGCTCCCCCTCTGGGCTTGGACTGCAGGCCAGAGGGGGTCTGGCGTGGGCGAACTTACCCCGCTCACCTCTGGCTCCTGAGGAAGCCTTCTGCAGGTAGTCTTTACTGAAGAAATGCCCCTGTTCTAAAATGGTGATGTGGGACACACTCCCTGTGCGTCCGGTCTCAGGCACACTCTTCTGCGCGCCTGGTCTGCCCCGGCTGTGGGTGCTTGCTCCCCCTACTGTGGGCTCAGACTACTGGTTGGAAGGGGCCCGGCGTGGGCTAACTCCCCAGCTGGCCACTGGCTCCTTCAGGAGCCTCTGCTGGTTTCAAGTCGCTAGGTGGCGCCAGAGATCTCTCCTAGAGCCCTTGGGGAGATGATTTTCCACCCCGTGGGACAGGGAACAGAGCGGGGATGGTAGGGTACACCCCAACGGCTTTGGGGTGCTGTGTCTGCCTTGTGCCCCACCGTCGTGGGGAACCCACGCCCCTAATTTCGTGCCCCGGGTCTCAGTTCCAAAGCCCTCAGTTCCAGGACGCGGGCTGTAGTCCAGTTCAGTGGCGCGGGAATGGTGCCTTTTGAATCCCGCTCCCGTGCCTGGGCGCCTGGTTCCTGCTCACACAGTGAGGGCCTCCGCGCGTCTCCCCGCAAGCCTAGGTCGCAGGCGCGGGGACCTGGGCAGCTGCGATCCGGATCCGGATCTGCGTTTGCTTTTCAACCGCACTGCTTTTTCAACCGCACTGCTTTTCCTTGCAAGCTTACCGGGCGGCCAGCGGCTGTGTGCTGGGCCTGGCCTCCTCCCCGGGGGCGGGGTCTCTCTTTAATGGCGCCTGGAGCTCACCTCCGCGGCGAATCCTGCAGGGTTCTCCACAGCTCCCGTTCACGGGGTGTGGTGGCTGCAATAGTTCCTTTCCACTCACAGTCCCGCTTGCTGCATAGTTTGTTCTTGTTGGTCGTTTTAGTTTGTTGTTTTCCTCCTCTCTGCGGGGTCGGAGAGTGCCGACTCTGTGGGTGGGGGAGGGGAGCAGGGTTCTGCGCTTTCCTCCCTTCTGGTCCTCTTTTATGGCCACTTTTTCTTCGGGTAGTTTGCTGGAGTCACCCGTTTATCTTCCGTGTCCCAGTTCTCACTGGGACCTGCCGCTTTTCCTCCCTATTAACTTTTTTTAATGGGAGATCTTACTCGCAGCGTCTCCTTGCCGCCATGTTGCTCCGCCCCTCTCCGATTATCTTAGTTTCTAATGCCATTAGTATAATCACTTGCTTTACTCTAAGATAATTTCTGAATAGACAAACTACTATTACCACAAATATAAATAACAATAACAATATGAAATAAAGTTTAAGATTTCTTTGCAGCTCTTATTTGACCTTATGATGTATCCCTTCCAATAGAGACATGCAGTGTTTTGTTGTTTTTCAAAGTGATCACTCAAAATAGTTCCTTTCCACATGTGCTTCTGCCACCAACTTGAAATCCAGCTCACGATTCAGTTTATCTTGAATTTTTAGGAAGTGCACCTTTTCTTTTAATTTGGTGTATTGTCTCAGTATAAAAATCAAAAGAAATTTACCTGTGTCCATTGTGACCAACTATGTTACAAGGAGAGATGTCTCATTTCCAGCCCAATTTCTAATGCCTCTGAGGGTGACTGTTGAATTCTAAACTTAGTTTAACCTTTCAGCATTTCTTTTTGCAAATATGTGTATTCATGTTCTCCATGTGTTACACAAAAGGTGATGTGGAGTATACAGTACACAGTGTGTAATATTACATGGAGTATATGCCTGGCCCTCCTCCTGCCTCTCTCCTCTTCGCTGCTCACTCTACATCTGTTTGGGGAGAGGTACTTCAACTTCGTCTTTGAGCCCTGGAGCAAGACTTGTATAGGTTAAGCAAGTGTTTTTATCGTACAAAGATTTTCACATTTCTGCCTTCTTATCTGTATGTTAGTAGTACTGCCTCATTAGATGTTGGGAGAATTAAATGCATTAATATATGTAAAGTCAGTTTAGCACTGTACCTGGTGCTGCATTGTTAGCTGTTATCGTTACAGCATTATTGTCTGTGGCCTGGTAATACCCAGCCTCGTGTGCAGCTTGAGGATGTTTAAATTTTTTTTTTTGAAGATTTATTTATTTATGCATACAAGAACTGGGGTATAGGCCAGAGGTGTGGGGGGTGAGAGGATTCACCAGAGACAGAGTAGGGAACAGAACAGGCAGATTGACTGATACACACTCCTGAGGGGAGCAGTGGGTGATTCAGGAAGGTCTGCTGCGCCATGTGGGTATCTCCCTGGCCAGCGATTGAACTCGTGCCACAGTGGCTGCCTATAGCTTCATAGGTTGTGCCTTAACCCCTTGCGCCACCAGGAAGGCCCATTTTTTTTAAGTCATTTAGGGGAGATGGTACAGACTGAATGAAGGTAAGGGAGGTCACATGCTCTTTTTCTGGAGCATGGGAATCCCAGGGAGTCCCAAATGCTTTTGAGCAGAAGTGGGTAGCATAACCTGATTGTCTGGATGGGGACTGAGTATTCTCACGCCTGGGATGTCAGTCAGGAAGCCAGTGCCTATAGAGGGAGTTAGGAGCCCCAGGGTAGGAGTAAAAGCCCCTCGTAGGGGAGACCTGGGTGCAGTTTTAGATCCCAGGGTCTCCTGTAGAAAGGAGCTCCTGTAGCACTCAGTCCCCATATGTTCCTGGTGACTCAGTCTTTGCAACAATGTCATGTCTTTTACCCTACAAGAAATCTCTTTAAGGGCAATGTGATTTTTTCCTGTGCCTGGTTGTCTTGGCATATGGTCATCACTTCCTCCCTTTCTCCCCACCATGTGACATCTGCCCATCCTGCTCTGAGTTCTCGGTCCTGAGTCTATGCAAAGGCCTTGAGGTACATGCTTTGAGCCTCACTGAATGTATCTTGTGTCTAAACAAAAGCATATGGTTTCTTTTAAACCTGCTTCCGAGAGGTCAGGCATCGACTTGGTTAGCTCCTAGATCCTTGTCCTCTCCTTCTGGTCCCCTACCTTTCTTGCTTCCCACTCACCACTGCCCTCATTCAAGGACCACTCTCAGCAGGTTACCCACACAACAGGAGCCCTAAATCTGGGGGACCTCCCTCACTTCCAGCACATTGTCTTTCCTACCAGAAACTGATGGGGGGCATTCAGAAGTCAGGAGTGTTGACAATACCCTTAAGTGTCCCTTTGCTCCACAGAGATTCACTGCTATCCCAGCATGGCCTTTCCCCCTCATGTTTTCCTCTGCTGATTCCCCTGGTTGCCAAAAAAAACCAAGAAACAAAACCAAACCACTAAAAAAGTGGTAGAGTGAGGTTTGGAGATAGATGAGGGGTAATAAAGATTTAGAAAGCGTCTTTATACATACTTCGCATTGTCTGACACCTCTTTCATTTCACTTCTCTTTTCCTGGAGGGATTTCATTTTGGTTTCACTCTTTGTTCCCGGGTACACAGCTGTGTATCACAGGGTAGTACCCACACCTGGACTGTGTATGTATTGTCAGTTCACTGTCCCTCTAGTTGACTCTCTGTTGTTGTAGTGACTAAGGACGGTCATGTGCGCTGGGGAGAAGGGAGGGACTGCTTTGCCGGAAAGATGGCCATTTTGAGGAGGGAATGGATGGTACAGCTTTTTTGAAGTTAGATTTTTAACTCAGACATGCCTCTGACTACAGAACAAACTCACAATAGTGATTTCCCCAGAATACTTGGACGTGAGTGTTATCCTTGGTTGTGAAGAGGACAGTTATTCTAGAACACAGCAGCCTGGACAAGGAGAACTCTGGGCAGTGGCCTTCACCTGCCAGCCTTGAGTGGCGCTGCCCTCTTCTTTGTCTGTGCAGTATAAATTCACATTAATATAGATCTCAGAAAACATAGCTGGTGGCACATGTCCAGTTTTGCATACAAATCTGACATCAACAGTGAAAAAAAAGCAACAGGCCAGGGCATTAAAAGTGAAAGTATAAATAGTGCAGACACAAAAGAGTCTCCCCTATGACAACTTCTGATTTGCCTTGTGATCTCAGGCTAGACCCAAGTTCCTTCTGGACCAGACTGTCCCCTCCGTGAAAAAAGAGGCCTAAGCTGGTCGGCAGCCCTCTTGGTTAAGTGTTTCCAACAAAGTAGAAGGAGCAGCATTTGATACCCATCAAAGTCTCTTTGATACCCTTCTTTATTTTTTTGTTTCTATGCACTTGGTGTAGCTGAGCTGCCAGCACTTCTGTTGACTGATAGATTCCAGAAGATGCCAGCTTAGGCAGAGCATTGCTGTCCATATGAGCAAACCTCAGCCTGGTAGCCTTTCAGGAAGTACCCTCAACTGGGTGATGGGGCAGCTGCTTTATCTGAGATTAAACTACTTCCTGTTTTTACTTTTAGGATGAATACCTTTCTCTCGTGGCCAGGCTCATTATCCATTTTCGAGATATTCGTAAGTAAAATTTTACATTTCTAGGTGGTTGTGATTGCGATGAGATACTGACCTAGTGGCATGGTATTAGAGGCTCTGTTGACTTCACAAAGGGCTTGGGTCAAAAATGTCTGTGTGAAGATGTCCACTTTCTGGAAAGTTCATTTGCTTTTCTTTTGCTTCCTTAGTTACCATCCTCCTAGAACCTGTCTCAGAAATGCTAAATTCAGCATAATGGAAATGTTAATCTCTAAACTGAACTGCTATTTTCAAAAGAACTGTAGCTTTTATATCTAGGTACTACTTAAATAAACAGAGTTTACCCAGGAACAGAAAATTCCTTCCCAAATAGTTGGTCTTACTGATCTAAGGAGGCCTGAACTAAATATGGGTTCCTGTCAGGTTGGAAGCTTCTGAGGCCACTTTAAACTCCTTGTCCCACTGAGGGTCATCTAGTTCTTACCCTGCCACGTTCTGGTTCCTCTGATCCTGAGGTTCCTGCTGTGGTCCTGTCAGCCAGGCCAAGTAGTAGCAGTGGCTCTTCAGAAGTGAGTATGTCCTTGCATCCCTTGGGGCAGGAGTCTTAGTGGTGTACATACTGAGGTCTGGGCCGTCTGCCTGGTGTCTAAAGAAAACCAAGGCTGGAGGAGTGCTTTATGGTTTCTGTCGACTACCTCCTGCCTGCCAGTAGTTATGTGAGCTCAGATGGTGGGCTCCTCCTGATGCAGGCTGTCCCTGGAGGAGGGACTTGGTGAGACCAGTTGCTGCTCTCCTGTGGTTGTGGAGGCAGCTGCAGCTTCAGTGTCATACTCTCCAGCAAAGGGTGACAATAGGAGATGGACTTTGGAAACATAGCACCCTCATGTGGCTGGTAGGTTTTGCTGCTTTTCACACTATTTTTTATTTTAACCAGAATGGCCAGCAGGATGAATTTCACTTGATAGCATTTTCTTCGTGGTGTTTGGGAAAGCCCTATAGGGTATAGGACTAGAGAAGCCTGGGAAGTGTGCAGCCTGATGACCTGTGTCAGTTCATTGTGGCAAGGGGCTTTATTGGGTTGTGCAGGTCTCTCCAGGACGTGGCCCTAGCATGGCAGCACAGACAGCCCTATGGATGGAGAGTGTTCACAGCCTTCTCAGTAGCTCCTTGGGAAAGGGTAGAATTGTTGCAGTTTCCTGCCTGGTGCTAGGGCAGTTAGATCTGGCTTCAAAACAGCCTTGACAGGACTTGGTTTCTTCATCTAAAAAATAGAGATCTGCCTCCCCAGACTGGGCTGAAAATGGAAATACTGTGAGTTCTAAGCACCATTCTGGGCCAGTCGCAGACCCCTGCTCCTCTCTTATGTGCTGTCTAGGACCTGAGCTGAGGCACTGGACCTGGGAAAGAAGGAAAGCAGAGTAGGCCAGAGTGAGCCTCTGCCTGGGGAATGGTTCTCCCAGGTCTCAGGTTGACCAGGGTGTGGTTCTGCTCCTTCTTCTCCCAGATCCCTTTACTTACCATTGTTGCCAGGAGTGGGACGCACACACGTGTGCACATGGACACACATACTTTGGAGCTTTGAGATGTGTTTTATCTAGTTTGTAGGCAGGAACAGCTCTGTTTTAACAAATGGCCACAGGACAAATGCCTACAAACTGACCTAGCATGAAAATAATGGTTATATAAAACTTTGTTGACTTTGTTTTTCTTTTTCAATAGATAACAAGAAATCTCAGGCTTCTGTCAGTGGTAAGAGTTTTTCCTTTTTGAATTAAAGTTTTTCCCAATTTTGGATTTGGGGTGGCAGGAATGAGATTGTGCATGCTGGGTTACTAGAAGAATAGTGTCACTGTTACTGGAGGAGGATGTTCACAGAAAGAAAAACTCTGTGAGAACTGTGAAGCCGCACCACCCTTTTCCTCTGCCTTCACCCACTTCCTCTCCCACATCTTTCCTCTTCCTGGCAGAGGCTACAGTCAGATATAGTCCATCCTATTTCACTCAAATGTTTTTGTCCAACAAAAAGTTTTTAAAGGCTCACAAAATTATTGAGGTGTTATCTTAAATTTGAGCTCTCTGGGAGAGAACTATTATGTTACACTCAGTATAATAATCTGTAATAGTATTTCTTAGAGAATAGTTGTGCATTCACTTTAAGTCACAAAGTTTCTTTGGAAGTTAAGAATTATCAGAATTTTTATTTTTAAATTGCAAGATTTTATCACCTAAGGGGAATTCTCTCTGAGATTCAGCCCTGGTCTCACTGACCAAACTGTCAGTGGAGGAGTTGAGCAGCTTCAGGTGGCCATTGACACTCCAGCCTCAGGAAGGCGCTTACGTGGCATGCGCATTGCCTTACCATAGGCAGCAGAGCTGTCAGTCCCATGCTTTTTACATGGCAACTGCCCATGCTTGCCTCAGCTGTGCCAGCTGCTTGTGGGCCCTTTCTTTCCACAGGGATCTCTCAGTGAATAGTGATTTCCAGCCAGCCAGCCAGGGCCAGGTGGGATCAAGAACCAGTGGCCAGGTGGATATCTGGGCTCCTGGCTTGGAAGCATAGGGTCCTTGGCCACTCAGCTCTGAGGTCTGGCTGGGCCGCATGTCTGCTGGTAATCTTTTACCATGAGCCCACATTGCTGTGATGAGAGCCTTGGCCCCTTTACCCAGGTATTACTCTCCGAGCTCAATCCATAGATCTGGCGGGCTCATGCATGTCCTTGTGACCCTTGGTGCTCTGGAGACCCCTCCCTCATGCCTTTGCTTATTCTAGTTTGTTTACCCTGGGCGCCGGGGTTTATCATGAGAATGCCTCGATAGGGAGTTCCTGCAGACTTAGCAGAGATGGGCTTCTGGTGTGCAAGGAAATTGTCACCTGCAGAAACTCCACCTGGCCCTTGTGCTCTTGCTTACTTAAAGAAGGGACTGTAGCACTTTGTTGTCTTTGGGCCTGTATACCAGGTGGGATATACAACTATGAGGCTAGGGGCCATCACCTCCCCTCAAGGGCATGTTTGTCCTCTCAGTATTAGGGATCTGGCACAGTCAGGCTAGAACTGGAATATACTCCTTGCCTACAGAGGGGCCTCACAGTTCAGGGGCAATAAGAGACACACAGTCTCCTGGCCCCTGGTATATGACCAGGTTTGGAAGGCTGCCAGGATTCTGGCCTCTCATCATGTGGAACTTAGTGGGAGTTGAGGCTCGAGGCGGGATTTGGAGCCTCGCTTGGTTCCGTGGGCATTCTTCTGAGATGCTGTGCCCTTGTGTTCCCACAGACCCGATGAATGCCCTGCAGAGCCTGACTGGTGGACCTGCTGCGGGAGCAGCTGGAATTGGCATGCCCTCTCGGGGCCCAGGACAGTCACTGGGTGGAATGGGAGGCCTTAATGCCATGGGACAGCCAATGCCCCTCTCAGGACAGCCACCCCCTGGTACCTCAGGGATGGCCCCCCATGGCATGACTGTTGTGTCTACAGCAGCTCCACAGAGTGAGTAACCGTGCTTCTCAGAGAACCTGCTGCTTTCTTTGCAGGTGACAGACAATTTAATTTTTTTTTTTTTGCTTAGGATGGTATGGAGAAAGCATGGAGCAGCTACAGGGAGCCGTCTTTTTGTGTTTATTGTGTGTGGAAAGAAGACTCCAGGCCGCCTTTGGCTACCCTGGGGAGTGGAGGCCTTGAAGGAGGTTGGGATGGCCTGATGCTCCATTCAAGGCGTGTTTTATAACTGAAATGGGAACAGTTGTCTCAGGATGTTTTGAGGCATGAAGCAGTGCTGCCAGCCTCCCGTGACCCTGGGCTGCCCCAATCTCAGCACCTCCCCTCTAGTGCTGCCCTTGCCCCTTGGTTGGCCTGGGTTATGACTCATGGTCATGTTTCTGTCAGATTTCCCCTCCTTTACCCTCTTTGTAGTTCCCTGAAGTACACAACCCCACTTGTTTTCTCTACACAGCTGATCCAGCCAGAAGCAGGTCTGTGGTATAGATGTTCCAATGGACAGGATGGAAGCAGAGGTCCTTCCTCCTCCTCCCTCTTCTTCCAGGACCTGTCTTTTTTTTTTTTTTTTTTTTTTTTTAATGGAAGCATCAAGTTCCCTGATTTTTTTTTTTTTAAGATTTATTTTTATTTATTTATGCATACAAAAACTGGGGTGGAGGCCAGAGGTGTGTGTGTGGGGGGGGGTGTGGTGGTGAGAGGATTCACCAGAGACAGAGTGGGCAGCAGAACAGGCTGACCTGCTGAAATACACTGCTGAGGGGAGAAGCGGGCAAGACAGGAGAGGTTTGCTGTGCCATGTGGGTTAGCTTTCTGACCGGGGATCGACCTCATGCTGCAGTGGCTGGTGATAGCTTGATAGTGCTGAGACTTTAACCCTTGTACCACTGGGGAGGCCCCTTTCTAAGATTTTTATTCTCCTTACTGTCTCTTATTCTATCTGACTCTTAGCATGTTCTAATTTCCTTGTCCTGAAATGATTTTTGGTCAGTCAGTTCTTCATTGCAGGCTTCTGTATCCCCTCTTTTCTTATCAGCTCACCTGACATGCACTGAAAGAGAAGTGCTGACTGGGCTCCTGTTCATGTTAAATTCTGGAATACTGATTGAATTTCTTTTTATCATAAACTTTTATTTTGAAATAAAAAGTATTTTTTTTAGTGTATCAGTTTAGAATGCTTACCTGATAGGCCTTGGAGACCCACTACTAAGATTTTTTCAGAAGTTCAGTAGTCTAGTTTTGATAGCATGCCCACAACCTCTCTAACCTGACGTTGGCCCACATCCTGTTTTTGCTTCTGAGGGACCTGGACTCCTGTATGGTTTCAGTGAGGGTTGAAGTGGGTTCTCTCCTTTCAGGTTCTACTGCTACCTTTGTTAAAGACCCTCCCTTCTTGCTATTCACCTCTTGCCCACATGGTCTACCTGAAACAGGTGGCCAAATGGGCAGTTGCTATGCCTTTCTGACACTTTGCAAAGGCCCCTGTGTGATTAAAGCCACTTCGGGTGTTAATCCAGTGTCCCCGGAGGCTAGGTCCTGGGTTGGGTTTTGGTCTATCTCTAAGTAACCCTTGTTATTCACAGGAAATGCTGAAACTGCTAACTGGATAAGGCTGGTGACTGGTGGCATTGGAAACAAGACTTAATTTTCGTTCTATATTTTTGTTTCTCAATGAATTTTATTCCAAGTGCATATATATTTACTTTTTAAAAATTCTTATTTTTGACTTTGACATTTTGGGCCACACTTACGAACGCTCTTCCTTCTGGATACTAGATCCTGGGTAGGGTACATTTTTTATTGCTAGGCTGGCAGAAGGTAGTGCCCTACTGTCCTCTGGCCTGCTGCAAGATGGAGGAAACAATCCTGGGATCTCTTTCTAACAGGATTTGTGCTGGGGCCATGGCATCCCTCACTTCCCCAGAAGCAAATGCAGGTTGGAGGAGAATGCCCCCACTTAAGGCTCTTGGGAAATTACAGATTAAGATCAAACAATGAGCACACAAATCCAAGATAAGCACACATGAAAGGTGGCAGAGACTCTGTGAGGAGAAACAATTAATAGATGTGGAGACCCTCAGGGACCACATATATAGAATTGTTAGATGTGGGCTTGATGTGTTTAAAGAAATAAAGATAGACTTCCAAATGAATAAGCACCATGATATTATCAGGAGTTACTGAGCAGAATTGAAAAGGAAACAAGTGGCTTTTATAGAAATGAGAAATAAAATTATTAAAAGAAGAAAGTCTGGGGAATAAACAGCAAATGAGATACAGTTGAAGAAATAACTTCAATAGCAAGCTACCTTTGAAGAAATGACCTAAAATGTAGTCCAGGGAAGAGGATTTGAAGATAGGAAAATAAGGGTGAGAAATGTGGGGGATAAAATCAGAACATCTAGCACTTGCTTCTGGGGGAGTGAGATGCCAGAGTCCCACCAAATGGAGAGAGTAGATGCAGAACGATAGATATTAGCTGAGAAAAGCTCAGTGGACCCAAAGCAATTTAACTTAATCTGTGGTTGTGAAAAATCAGAACACCAGAGGCCAAAAGGATGTCTTAGAAGATGTTTTAGAAGTAACCAGTTTGTATAAAGTAGCAATAAATAGATTGAGTGGACTCAATAATGGGGTTAGGAAGATAGTAGGAGGTTGTGAGGGTGTTGAGAACAGAACTGCCAACCTCAGTTGTGTGACAGTAAAACTTCCAAGGGTTAGGGAAGCAGAGTTATTTCTAGATAAAATAAAACCCAACAGGCCTTCACTAAAAACGTTTTTGTTTGTTTGTTTTTAAAGAACATTTTAAAAGGACAGGCTTATTAGGAAAAGAAAAAAGGAAGAGAGAGAGATACCGTCATAGTCATAGCTGGGCGGGGAAGAGAGCAGCACTAAAAACTTAAAGGATATGTTCTATTTGCTCAGTTTTCTGTTACCTTTCAGACCATCCTTCCCAAGATGCCGATTGTAAAATAGCAAAAGAAGTGATAAGCAACTATAGTGAGTACAGAGACAAGAGGTGGATGCTGCTAAACATCTCCCATGCACAGGGAGAGTTGTCTGACCCAAAATACCAGTAGGGACAAGGTTGAGAATAGTTGGTGTAAGCAAGAGTTAACCTCTGTAAAATAATGTTGCTCAGAGCCAACCACAACGAATACCTGCTGTATTCCAAGTGCTATTTTGAGTGCTTTCCCTATGACAGATGCTCTTTTAGCTCAGTGTGTGGGAAAGGTAATGTTATTGTCTCTCTTCTACAGCTGAGGAAACTGAGGCACAGAGCAGCAAAGAATTAGCATATGATTGAGGCATCTAGATCAGATGCTGTACCTCTAACCATTATTCTATCCTGCCTCTTAATATAAATCTGTGGCTAAGAAGATAAACAGGAACTGAAGTAAATGCACGTCAGAAGGGGATATATCAAGGATATCAGGTCTATTATGTACATGTAAAAACCTTTAAAAGATTTTTAGAGAGGGTTCTAAGATCCCTGTTGTTTAGAAGTTACGTACTGATAAACTTTGTTTCATTAAATTGAATATTCATAATGAAATTGAAAAAAGTCATTGCTCAAACAATAGAAATAGTTTATAAATTCCAAACCAGTAGGAAAAAATGGAATAAGACGACCAACAATCCTTTTATTTTTTATTATTTTTTTAAAGATTTATTTATACAAGAACAGGAGTACAGGTCAGAGGCACGGGGAGGGTGAGAGAATTCAGAGAGAGCGGAGGGTGAGAGAATTCAGGCAGACGGACCAAAGACACTGCTGAGGGGAGCAGTGGGCGAGGCAGGAGAGTTCTGCCATGCCATGTGGGTTTCTCCCTGGCCAGCTGGGAATCAAACCTGCGCTGCAGAGGCTGCTGCGGACAGCTTCACAGCGTAGCGCTCAAGCCGCTGTGCCACCAGGGAGGCCCCACCAACCATTTTAAACAACACACAAAATTCAGCCCAACCATTCACTAAAAATACTATTCAAAAAAGGGGAGGAAATTGTTGTCAATTTTACCTTATTACAGCTGATAAAAGGTGGTAATGAAGATTAGAAAAGGGAAGACAAATGCAAGCATGTTGAAAAATATAGGTAATTACTGTAAATGTGAATGAATTAAACTTCCATAAAAGATAGGAAATGTGAAATTATATGTATGTGAAAGGAAACAATACAGTTATATAACCCTGACTAGAAATACAGGATGCAAAAAGATTAAAAGATGCACAGGGGGAGGGGAGGATGCATTTAGAAATTATAATTCTCTGGTAATTGATAATAAAGCAGACAAAAAATGAGAAATTTAGAAATCCAGATTTAACATACAGTTAACTTGATCTAAACACTTGGATGGAACACATCCATTTAAAACATAAAGCAAGCCTCAACAATTTCAAGTATTACTGCCTTACATAAAATGTTTTCTGTGAAACAGAAGTTTATAACAAAAAGATAAATTTAAAAATTCTTACACCCTGTCAGAACAGTTAAAACAGTGACACACCAAGTGCTGGCAAGGATGTGGAGAAACTGGATGTTGCTGATAGGAATGTGAAATGGTTCAGCTTATTTAAAAACTAAACATACAACTTAGCAGTCTTACTCTTGGGCATTTATCTCAGACAAATGAAAATGTCACAAAAACCTGTTACACAAATGTTCATGGCAAATCTATTTGTAATATTCCAAATCCCGTCACCCCCAGAAGTACTTCATGGGGTGAATGCCTGACCAAACCATGAGATGTCTACACATGGGATGCTGAATGGCAACAAAAAGGAAGAAATTGTTGATACATTACAATTTGTATGGTCTTCACAGAATTTTGCTGTATGAAAAAAGTCATACTGTATGACCCCCACATACAGTATTTTTGAAATGAAGAACAACTGAGTGGTTGCTAAGGGATGGAAGGGTCAGGTTACAAGGGGGCAACACCATGAGGGATCCCCATGGTGTTGGAAGTTTTCTGTGTATTAGCTATGATAGTGAACCTACTTGAGAGGAAATTGTTTGGAACTTAATATACACACCCATGCAAATGAGCACACAGTTCTGATTGTGATATTGTGTCACCACTTAAAATAATGGTACCATTGGGGCAGAATGTCCAAAAAAAAAAAATCTGTTTTTTTTAAAAATACCAGCGTTATTGAAATATAATACATGCAGTTCACCCTATTAAAGTACAATGTTCATTGGTTTTTAGTATATTTAGACTCGTGCAGCCATCACCGTAATTACATTTAGAACATTTTTGTCACCCCAAGAGAAACAGCACCACAGAAAATCTTATAAATGCAACATTATTCATAATCACCACAAAATGAAAACAACCAAAGATCCACCAGCTGATGAGTAGATATACAGAATGTGGAAGTCTATGTCGTGGAGGAGTATTCAGCAGTAGAAAGAAATGAAGTACTGATACATGCTGTAACATGGGGGGACCTTGAAAACATTGTTAAAAATATGTTAAGCAAAAGAAGTCACAAAATACCACATATTTTGAGATTCCATTTCTATGAAAAGTCTAGAACATGCCAGTCTATTGATGCAGAAAAGTTAGTGGTTGCCAGAGCCTGGGCCCCTGGGCCATCCAAAGGACCTAGTCAGCTCTTTTCTATTAAAAATAATGATTTGTTCCATAATTACTTCCATAAATGTCATTCCCATTACATCTGCTTCTCCTGTAAAGGGAGTGTTCACTTCTAACAGCAGTGGGGCGACGGTCCCTCCAACCATCCTCTGCACAGCCATGATGGCAATGGGTCTTTGCTTGTGGCTTCCCTTGGCGCTGTGCAGAGGTCTGACTGTGGTCTCCTCTCTATCTCCAGCCCAGCTACAACTCCAGCAGGTGGCGCTGCAGCAGCAGCAACAGCAGCAGCAGTTTCAGCAGCAGCAGGTGGCGCTGCAGCAGCAGCAGCAGCAGCAGCAACAGCAACAGCAGCAACAGTTCCAGGCTCAACAGAATGCTATGCAGCAGCAGTTCCAGGCAGTGATGCAGCAGCAGCAGCTTCAGCAGCAGCAGCAGCAGCAACATCTGATCAAATTTCAGCAAAACCAGCAGCAGGTACTAAGTTGTTCCCATACTCAGCCTCCCTTCTGTGGCCTTTGAGCTCTAGATATATACCAACCACAGTGCTGGGCACAGGGGCTGGAACCAGCCATGCTCTGACCACTGGTGCCTGGGCTTCCTGCAGAGCCTGGGACAGGGAGGAGAAGCAGGTCCTGACTTGTTAGAACCGTACTGTTGCACAAGGAGGGCTTCTCCTTCAGGCTCAGGTGTCTTGGTCTGCTGGCAATTGGATCAGCAGAGGCTTCTGGGTACAGATAATTCTTGTAAGAGTTAACTGAAGAAAAAAAAGTGAGAAAAGCAGTCTGAGATGCAGGAATTCTTGAGCCATCTTGTAGGCCTTTCAGACATGCATGTCTCCTATTTTTGTCTCTGAGTGTTTTGGTGTCTAGTCGTAGTATTGCTGGACCCCCATCTAGTGTCCTGTGGCAGAATGGCCATGTCACATTAGAAGCCTTAAGGGAGGGAACACCTGTTGGAACTTTCTCTGCTTACCAACCCCTGTTGGCCTTAGTTGTTTCCTTTTCCCACTGGCCATCCTCCTACATCTCAGAGGCCGTTTCTCCTAGAGCTGACAGGGACTCTTCAATCCCACTTTTCTTCCTCATCCTGAGGCTTGTCCTGTTGACCACGATGGGAAGCAAAATCTCGTCCCTAGAGAGGCTCCAGACGTCTGCAGTCACCCAAGTGTTTACCCCAGTTTCTGTGACTCAGCACCTATGTGTCATCCCTTAATAAACTTCCAGATACTTCCCTGGAGCCTTCTGGCATCTTCTTTCAACCTAGGGTGGGCCAGCATCTGGTGGGCAGGGCACAGGCACACACTTCACGTGTACTCACTGTCCTTCTAACAGCCCAGGCAGACTACCTGGGGGCAAGACTGGCACAGGGCCCAGGGGCCAACAGGGTCACCACATGCTGCTTGTTCTACCTCTAGATACAGCAGCAGCAACAGCAACTGCAGCGGATAGCACAACTGCAACTGCAGCAGCAACAGCAGCAGCAGGCTTTGCAGGCTCAACCACCAATACAACCACCACCAATGCAGCAGCCACAGCCTCCCCCCTCCCAGACCCTGCCCCAGCAGCTGCAGCAGATGCACCACACGCAGCACCACCAGCCACCACCACAGTCCCAGCAGCCGCCAGTAGCTCAGAACCAACCTTCGCAGCTCCCGCCACAGTCACAGACCCAGCCTTTGGTATCACAGGCTCCAGCCCTCCCTGGACAGATGCTGTATGCCCAGCCACAACTGAAACTGGTGAGTACCCATGGCCCATCACGGTGGGTCACAGCTCTTCTCATGATGTCTTACGTGTCTGGCGGCCGTTAGTGGTTTCCTTCACAGTGAATGGAATGTCCTCTTTCTCGGGTACTGGAAATTGGGCGGCCCGTCTCCATGCCATCCTGTGCTGTGCCCAGCTAGGAAGTGTGCATTGCAGGAGCTGCTGCCCCTGGTCTTGGGACAGCAGTTTGTCTCCCTAGCAGCTTGGCTGATTGCCATAGTGGTCATGGGCATTTAAGATTATAGATGATTAGGATGGTGGCGGGCTTTCCTCACTATGGGGGAGGAGATACTGCCTCCATTGGGCATCCACTGTGGTTTGGTAACTGCTCAGTTATTTTCTAAGCAAAGAGACATTATCATATTTGGGGGTGGTATTAATTAATATAAAATACTGTTATTTCAATCTCATGTACAAGGCATTTCTACTTGGTCACATTAAAACAGTTAAAAATGCTATCACCAAGTCCCAGGTAGCTGCATCTAGGGGCCCTTTTAATGTTTTTCAGCTCACTTCCACCATTTCTATTTTTGATTCATTGAGCAGAGTGGGGATGAGGGCCAAACATGAACTGAATGGTGAGATAACTAGAAGGCCCCACCAGGGCAGGCTGGAAGCAGGAGCATTGTGGTTACACCTGTCACTTGGGAGCCAGCCATTTACTGACTGGCTGGCCACCTCTGATTTCCTTCAAGAAGCCGAGGCTCCAAGCAGGACTCCCACAGACATCATATCCTTAGCCCAGAGTGAGCAGGCTGTAGCTGTATAGTGATGTCCCGGGGAGAGCGCTGCACTTCCCTTAGAGTTAGGGGTGATGAGACTTGGTTGTACCAGTACAGAACAGGCTGGTGTAGAATATGTCCGATGAACTAGAGGATAAAGGACAAGCAAGGTGACATTAAAGGCAGTGAGGTCATGACAATCCCAGTCCCCTTCTCACAAAAACTTCAAGATTCAGAGCTCCCACAGAAGTAGTGGGTTCTTGCCCTCTACTGTGGGGGCCCCAAATTATTCTCTCTTCTTCCCTCAGGTCCGAACTCCAATGGTGGTACAGCAGCCCCAGGTGCAGCCCCAGGTGCAGCAGGTGCAGCCCCAGGTGCAGCAGCAGACAGCAGTGCCGACAGCTCAGGCCTCCCAGATAGTGGCTTCCGGAGTCCAGGTGAGGGCCTTCAGAGCTTAGTTTTGGCAGGTGCATGTTCTCCGTGCATGGAGCTGGATTTCAGGTGCTCTATGGCAAGGGTCCTCGTGGGATCAGGGGCTGAGTTAGTACAGCACAGCATTCCTCTCCCCAGCACTCTGCCAGACAAGGGCTGATCCCAAAGCCTGGGGACCCTGGAGTCCTCAGTGTCACCAACTCTGCCTTGTCATATCTGGTCCTTTGATGTACATAGTGCCTGTGTTGTTCTCCTCTGATGTCCTTCATCTTCCCTCTCTTCTCTGAAAACACAAGTTGGAGAGGAGAGCATCTCAGTTGCAGTGCTGAGTATGGGGCTGGCAGAAGGTCAACAGTAGCTCTCTAGAAACTAGAAGAACATAAGAATTGTGGCAGCTAGCTCCAGTGATGCCATAGTCTTCTGCCACAGCCCCTTGCCTGACTGACTACTGGTGCTACCCCTGTGCTGAAAGTTCAGGGAGGCCCACCCCACACATTCTGCGTGTTGGTTGTCAATGGAGCAGGTTGGATCTTGCCTGAGCATTCACAGTGGAGGCTAGATCATCACTGGTGTCTTGGGTCTACAGATGGAGACCTCATGGCTCCGCCAGTGTAGTTCCACCTCACCCTTGTGCTGGTGCTGAGTAGGGGAAGTCCCTGTCTGGTATCTCGGCACTTCTGTCTCCATCCAGAAGTGGGAACACTCAGGAGAGTGTTGTCAGTAGAAAGAGCTGTTATATTAGTTGATATAAGGTCACAGCTGGGTCCTAACCTGTCCTGGTGCGCTGCTGGGCTGCTGGGCTGAGTGGCACAGGCCATACTCATGACCCTGCTTATTACGTGAGTCTCGTCTGGTGGGCAGTGCTGCATATGTGACTCCTCTGGGACCCAGTGTATTCCCTTGGTGTCAGAGAGCACTTAGAACCTTGCAGGCCCCAGCACTGTTGCTTGAGTTCATGGGAAGCTGCCCAAGGAGAAGCATGCCAGTGGAGGAAACTGCAGGGACAGCTTCTGTTGTCTCTGCACCAAGTGACCTGGGCAGAGTACCCCACCTCAGCAGCTGTACCCAGAGAGGAGCTAGCTGTCCTGAGTGACTAGGCTGGAACCCATCTACGCTGCTGCCACTGTGTTCTGGGCATGTCCCTGGCCCCTGGCACTCCCTCCCTGGGTTCATGCAGAGAAGGAGGTGGTGTGTAGTCAGTTGGGGACAGTGGAAGCACATAGTGACCTCTCAGCCCTTGGAAGTCATTACCTTTAATGCTTCATGACACTCCCTGTCCTGTCCTAGGACCACACTTCATGGAAACTGCTGCATCTCAGTGAGGTCCAGTAGGAAAGTAAGAAACTTGGCATTCTTTATCCTGCAGTTTGGTGGTCTGAAGGAGAACTTCCCTCTTAATCCCATTTCTTGGTGTTTGGGAAGGAAACACCACAGAACATTGATCCCATCTTTTTGTGGGCTGGTTTATTACAGGCTTATAGCTCAAGGTGTCCTTCCTGTGACTGCCCTGGTGCCGTATCACCTTCTGAAAGTGGTCTGCAGCTTTGTGCACTCACTACCCCACACTGAGCCCATGCACAGCGCTGCTCTACATGCACTTACTCCACCCTGTTTGGGCTGGAGGTTCCAGTTCCACCAGTGTGGGAGCCTGGGCCAGGGACACAGTTGCCTCCAGATTTGTAGCCTTTCTCCCACAGAAAGCTGATGGCAAGCAGAGCTAAAGTGGAGCCCAGGACTTTTCAGGCAGGGATCCTGGAAAGATTGTGAGGCTCTCTGGTAGCTGGGGAGGAATAGTACTCACTACTTGAGTGCTTATGAGTGGGTTTGGTTTTTGAAGACGTGTCGACCTCACACTGCCCCATGGGGCTGTGTGATGGGACTCCTAGGAGCTGGGGACAGAGGGAGCTTTTTGAACCCTTGGAACACAGATAATATTCTGTGTTCCAGAGGCAGCACTTTGAGACCTCTGCCCTGGCTGTACTGGTTTGTCTCTGTGCCTGGTCCTGCCCTATCTGAAGGCAGTATAGTTCTGTGGTGGCAAGGCTGGTCTTGCCTCACCATTTTGTTCCGGCAACAGTGGGTCCATGGATTCCATGGGGTATGACAAGTCCTTATGGGGGGAGTCTCTGGATTCACAGTCCTCCTTTGCAGCCCCAGTGAACTAGACAAGACTACCGATGTTCTGATCCCAAAACTTCAAAAGATAATGTGGTAACTATAGAGACAAAGTTGAGAGTATAAATCAGGTAACATTGCAGAACAGGAGAGATTTGGCATTTTTTTTCCCCTATTTTCGTGTGTAGTCAAGGTCATACTGTACATTGGACTTTTTGTGTAACTGGTTTCTTGTTAGCATTACAACAGAAGGAAAATGTTCTCCTGTAACTAAAACCTTCAGTCACATTACTTCACGTGGCTGTGTAATATTCCTTTTTATGAATGTATCCTGTTGTCCGTAATTGCCATCTTGTTCTTGAATCCTGAGGTTATTTCTAGTTTTTGCAGTTATCAGTGATGCATGTCTTCATGGCTGGGGTCTGGATTGTTTCCTCACGTTTCCGGAAAGGAGTCATTCCAGGTCACTTTGAGACCCTCAGATCTTATCAGCCAGTCATCTATTAGGAGTTCAAAGACACAGACTAGAAGTCTTTTGTGCTCACACATTTAACATCAGGATACCTTGTCACTTCTTCAAGTATGGGAGTTGCTGTGTGCGGGCGCAGGTTCTGCTCTGCGAAACAAGTACGGAGATTGGAGCACCTGATCCAGCAGCCCACCGTGTCTTGTCTCCCAGTGTGCCCTCCAGAACAGAGCAGGAAAGAAGTGCCCTGTCAAATACTCTGGGGCTGTGGGTCCCCAGTGAGTGTTTGGGGCTCTCATCTGAGGATTGAGTTTTGGATAGTAGTATTCCAGTGGGCTCCCCACTTTTCCACTTTGCCATGTATGCTGACCTTCTTATCTGAAGCTACTTGTGGAGGTGAGAAAGACTGTGTCACTCTCACCCACAGTGGCCTTTACTGTAAGGCTCAGCAGGAGACTACTCTAACTCCTGTTTCCCCCCTAAACTTTAGCTAATACACATAAAACTACAACAGAACATGCCTCCAATTCCAACAATCCCTATCTTTTGTCTTTTAATCTTTTATTATGTGAGAACACAATTACATCACTACAAAAACTTAACTTGCTATCAAGTTATGAGTTGTTATCAAAGACACACTTCCCTAATGTACATGGATGTCATATGGCTGCTGTACTTCTGACAGAACCTTTCCACCCTGCCTAAACCCTTCTCCCTTCCACGCTCTCCTCAGGGTGGTGGTGGACAAGCAGGCCCATGACCTGAGGGGCTGTGCCTGATTTCCTTTCTGCGTGCATTTGTGTTGGGGGAGAGAGCAATGCAGTCAGTCTGGAGAATGGGAATGTGGGCTGCTGGTGATGTGCTGCTTAGCTCTTCTGATCCTGTAAACACTGCTGGTGTGTTTCCATTAGGATTTGTGGTTGGAAGAAAAGGAGCTCTCCCTCTCAGGGGTTTTCAGTTCCAAGGAAACCAGTCAGCAGCTACTTCGATTCCTTTTTACTTTTGTTTCTTCCTGGGTGAAAGTTTCTACCTCTGTCATACCGCCTGGCTGTCTTCCAGGCTTTCTCCCACTGGAAGGAGCAGTGTTGAGCTGCCCCTGGGCTTTCAGTTGGGCAAATCTTGAGTGCCATGCTGGTGATAAGTGTTATCCCGTCTTAATCAAACCCTCCCACCTTGACTTCTGCTTAGAGCTGAACCCAGAAGAGTTGCTTTCAGTCCCCACTCATTGTGGGCGGTGGACCCTCTGGGGAGGAGATGTGTTTTCCCAGGGCTTCCCATCCAGATCCACCCCCCCCCCCCGCCCCGCACATGGCACCAGTGTTCTGCTTTGTTTCTAATGAGGTGCTAGATATATTAGGCTCTGTAGGACCTGCTTTTGTTTTGGCAGACACTGAGGAATGGCTTTCTTGCCCCCATCCCTGGGGAGTTATTTTGTTGGTATGGCTGCAGAAATGTCTGCTCCTCGGCCCTGGAGAGAGTTGCCCGCCCCCCCCCCCCATACACACACAGCCATTGAAGAATTCAGGTTGGCATCTGTACTGCTTGTGTCACCCCCAGCTTGCAGTGCCTGCTGCATGGAATCCGTGGGTGTGAGTGTGAGACATGCATGTGATGCCAGAAAAATCTCCCAGTAGGTCTTTCCCCTGCTTCGGAGCACTGCCCCTGGCACACCTTGCTGCCTCAGTCTCACATATCACTTTGCAGCCTCCTGGGACAGACATTTTGTTTTTCCATGGATCAGTCCTGCTTTCTTCCTGACCCCTGGCTATGTTTTAGTGTGGTTCCATCTTAAAAATTGTGAGCAAATGCATGCCCCACTCTCCAAGGACCTAGGCCTAGGACTCCATTCCTGACTCAGAGCCCAAAGCGAGGGCAACCAGGCCAACTGCCAAGTTCCTACCAGTGCAAGCCAGACCCAGATTTAGACTTACAGCCTGCCTTGCTTTCTTTATGCTTCTAAAAATATAAGTTGAGAGGAGAGCAGTCCCAGTAAGTGCTGGAGATACAGTCTGTAGTCATCTTGTGTAATTAGGGACAGACTTGACCCAGACCTGAGTCTCTGTGGAAGATGTACTTCCTCACAGTGATGAGGCCTCAGCTGCGTCCCGGCCTCCTTTTCCCATCTTCCCCTGATTTTAGTTATAAAAGGAAAACCAGTTCTATGGCAGATTCTGACTTGGAAGAGAAGCGGAGGATTTGAGTTTGGACCTTCAAACATCTTTGACAGGCATTGTACTACTGGGAGGGAAAAGTGCCATGCAGCTTGTGAGCTGGCTGGCTCACCTGGGATTTTCTTTGCTTTAATAAAGTTACTTCTCCTAGTGAGCTCTGGTAGAAACACTCTTTTGAAGCCTGTTCAGGAGTCTGGTCTTCCACAAATACTACCCTGACCCTTGAGGTCTGGCCCTGAGGGTTCTGTGGGCCCACCAGCAGATCGGAAGTTTGTTGAAGGAGTGAGGCCAACAGTTAGAAAGACCTGAAGGCAGCATTCTTGTTGGCTCCTCTAGACTTTCTCTTTCTAGAGAAAGTCCTCTTTCTAGACTCCTGTGCCTAGAAAGTCCTCAGTGCTGTGAGCTTGAACTTGAAGTCCAGACTATCTTTCTTCCCAGGCTTCCTGAGCCCCCCACAGACCCCTCAGTGTGGGCTCTCCTTGTCACAGAGGCTGCACAACTCTTTCCACCTGCCCATGCATTGCATTTCTTTGTTGCGATCACCTTGTCTGTTGTCCCTCTGTCCTCAAGATGATCACCGCAGCCTTGGCCCAAGGTGGGATGCAAGTAAGAGCCCGGTTTCCGCCCACCACCGCTGTGTCTGCCGTCCCGTCAAGCACCATCCCTTTGGGCGGACAGCCCTCGGCACAGGTATTTACGGGGCAGCGCCCAGGACCACCGGGAAGCTCAGGGACCTCTGAGTGCTTTTGTGCGGCCCTGTCATCTCCAGTGACTTAAGAGGCAGTCAGAGTGCCTAACCAAACTACACGAGGGCAAATCCAGTTTCTGATTCTTGAGGGGATATGAGTAAATATCTGGGTGTATTTTTGTTTTAATATTTTGGACAGTTCCAATGTTTGATCTGCTGGAGAAGGTGGGAGTCATGTCTCTTTAAACGTTGCAGTCATTTAATAGTGTGGTGTGATGAAATAGAAGCTAAGTAAATAGTTTTGCTTTCTAGGACATGCTAATACTGTAACCATCAGCCATGTTGGCTTTTTACATTTAAGTTTAATTAAAATGAAAGCTAAAAATTTAGTTGCGCCAGTTGCATTTCAGGTGCTCATATCCCCTTTGGGAGGCTTGTGGCTGCAAGACTGGATGGCACAGATTGTATGAATCAAGCTGTTGTGTTGGAAGGTTTGGTCAGACCATGCGGTTCTAGATTTGCTATGTAGAGCATAGAATTTCCTACACATCCACACCTCCTTTCCCTTTCTAAGTAGAATAAGGACTTCTTTGTACATTACACCTTTTCAGGGGCATGAATCCCTGGTTTCTCCATTATGTGAAATTTGGAATTGTCCGTGGGACCTTCATCCTCTACATGCCTTATGCCAGGCACTCTTCTGAGATTCTGAGAATAAAATGGATGAGGTTCCCTAATCTTATGGGCCTTCCATTTAGCTTTGAAAACCTCAGTTGCTGAAACTTAAAAATTCAGTTTCTCTTGTAAGGAACTGCATCTGTAATCCTAGCAAATAGTAGTCCTTCCCTTCCTCGGTGGCACATGTGCTGGCACTGCCATCACCACCAAGTCACATTACCACACACCACTGTGACAGAAGTGACGAAGGCCTTCCTGAGGGTGAGGCATTGCCATTTGGGGGTGTGCTCGTTTTTACCCTCCCTGCATTCCTACCCCCAGGGTTACCCCAGATGTACCATTTACATGGTTTTTCACTGACTGGAACTTGAATTCTTGACATTGACCTCCTTGTGGTAGTTGAGTTTGGGAGGAAGAGGTAGCTGGGATCTGCTGTTAAAGAGGCCTTGTGACTGAACTCTGTAGAGGAGAAGTTGGTAGCAAGGGCTGTGGTTCCTGGGATCGAGGTAGTAAAGAGGGCAGAAGGGGATAGAGCACACAGTGCCTTGCTCAGGGTGGGGTTTTGAGGCCTTAGGCACCCTCTGCCCCCATCCTATTACCTACCTGCTGCATGTCTTAGTGAGTGTCTCCTTACCCTCGTTTCTTTGGAGTCTCAGCTTTGTGATCTCAAACTACTTCTTCTCTGCTTTAGCTGCTGATTCATTATCGGTTGGGTTGACAGTGTCAGGTTGGGTTGGTGGGTTAGAGGAGTAACGCATTCAGCACATAGGGCCGATTGTTATAAAAACAAGAAAGCCCCAACATTGTGAGTATTTGATAGGTGGCAGACTTTGAGTCAAGTCTTTGTGTGCAAACACTTTCTCACTGCAGGGGGGTCACAGCGCTGTTCTCCCAGCAGTCCTGAAGGCAGAAGGTGCCCCATCTACCATAAAAATAGACTGAGCTGCTCAGATTAGACTGTTGGTCCAGACTGTGAAGCATTCCCACCTCAGCTTTTCAGCAGGGTACCTGAGTTCAACGCGCTCCCCCCCCCCCCCCCCCCCGCCCCCGACCTGTGCCCCGAAAGTCCCCAGGCATACTGTGGGCATGGGCCTGACTATGAAGCTAATTTCAGAATTGATGTGCAACAGCTTTCGTATCAGTGTCATTCTAATCCAGCTTATTCCGGGAGCTTTCATGAAACCATCTGGGAGCTGCCCCTGATATCTGAATGGCATCCCACCGTCCCTCCCCCAAGCTTTCTGTGTTCAGCATCCTGGGCCTTAATGTATCCACCTCCAGCCACTTATACACAACCAGCCCCCAGTGAGATGTGTGTCCTTCAGCATCTACAGTGCCTGTCTGATTTGGTTCTTCGCTTATTGCAACAGATTGCATCTGAGGAAATGGGCAGAACAGAAAGTGGGAGTCTAAGAATTCCCCTGGCTCTTCTTAAGTTGGGGCTCTCTTGTCTCAGGCTTCCCTCACCCCTGCCCTCCAGTCATTGCAATATGTCCCATGGCGGTACTTCACAGACAAGGATAACTCTGACCAAGCAGAATTCTGTGTCAGAATGTGCTGTATATAGTGCCTAACCTGGGATCCAGGGGTGACAGTTCTCTGTCCCCCTGCTCCCTCAGTGAGTATAAGCAGGTAGCATCATGATAGGACCCATGCTCCTCTTTGCTCTAGACAGTGGCTTCTGGGGACATGTTGAGCAGGGGCCCAGAGCCCAGGGTAGTTGCAGGGATATCCAGCAGGGATGGGTGGTCTTGAGAAATTGGAGGACATGGTGCTTCTGCAGCCTACACTGAAGTTTCTTCACAGGTCAGAGTTCACCAGACTGGTTGTTCTGTCCTGCTACCTGGCATCCTAGCCCCTGTTGTCCCTTCTGTCCTCTGGCTGCTCCCCGTCTGCTTATTCTCTCTCTCCATCCTATCTCCCATTTCTGCTCCCTGTAGCTGTCTTGTACAGGATCATTTCCAGACACTTATCCTTGTCCCCGAGGAAAGCAGATGGTGCTGAGGTGCTGGGTGCCTGGACTCCCTCACTAGCCATGTGACCTGGAACAAGTCACTTCCCCTGAATGCCCACTTCCTGTCAGTGAGAGACAGGTGACGGGCAGGTGGAGGCCTGTGACAGGCTCTCAAAGCCTCCTTATCTGGAGGTTTAGCATTCCCGTCCTGTGGATTTTGCCAGCAGCTGTGGCAGACATGGCCTGTGCCTCGGGAAGAAAGTACTCAGACTGGTGAGAAGCTTAGGAACCAAGTAGTGGCTCTCCAGGACTCTCCCTTCAGCTGTTTGTTACATAACTGGAGGAGTAAGAGTAGGCGCTGCTAGACTTCAACCTGGGCTACCTGAGACTGGAGGTTTCTGTCTTGATCTTGTTAGCCATCTTGTTTTGCTGGTTCTTTCTTTGGGCCATTGCTCTCCATCCCAGATGTGTCTGTACAACTTGGGATTTAGGAGCCTAACTGATGCCCTGAGAGGGGCCCTAAAGGCCTGTGGAGAACCTATTTGCTGCCAGCTGGAATCGTGCTTTTTTCCAGAGTTGTCAGAGACATCTGGATTGATGCTGGAGACCAGTTTCCCTAGCAACCTTAAGAATGGTGCTACAGTGGTTAGAGGAATGGAGCCTGGGACCAGACCCCCAACCCAGGCTGGCCACTCTTCTAGAAGGGACCTTCTGGAAGGGACAGCTTGAGCAGAGGCTGAGGCACCTCCCTGAGGTCAGTTCTATGAATGAGACCAGATAAGGGAATTTGATCTGTGACAGGAAGAAGGTGGCTTTAGGGAGTATGGGCCAGACAACAGGTTGGGGGTTGTGGAAAGGGTGGTAATGGTAGGATTTCCCTGGGGCAGGTGAGGAAGCACGGCTTTTGAAGGAATCTGGCCACAAGGACACTTCCCACTGACAAACAGGGCCCAGAATGGGTCCCAGAGCCTTTGCTTACACCTCCTTGGCACTGCCTGTGGTTCTCTGTATAGGCTTTTCTGATGTAACTTTCTCGCTTTGCTAATCCTAGGAGCTTGTTGGCACCTGTGGGGATTCTAGAGTATATTTTCAGTGTGATGGCCATGCTACCCTCTCCAGGACTCAGGGTACCCTCCCATCATGGAGGAGAGTCCTGAATAGGATGAACTTGCTGTGCTTGGTTGACCACCATAAACTAAGTCACCCCAGGCCTGTTGGTGACATCAATGAAAATCACTTGGATTGTTTTTCACCTCTTAGTAGAGCCACTGGGCCCAGCTGCTGGGAGCTTATACGCTCCTGCTGCTCTACTGGGAACCTAGTTATAATTGGTGGGAGCAACCCATTCCATCTGCCAAGACCATCAGTTGGGTTTAGTGCCTGTCTGACCTGGCCATGTTAGAAGTGTTCTGGTGTGACCTCCGTGCTGTCTGTTACACCAGCACGCCATATAGCTGTTTTCTACACTCATGGGAGAGGGTAGAAAGCCAAAGACCAGGAGGGGGGAGAACATTTCAGTCTGGGAACTTGGTCCAGGTGGTCCTGGGAGAAAGAGCCAAGCCACTGCTTAGCCTGTGTTCTGGGGTGGATGCTGTTTTCCCAGTGGGATCTGGGCTGTCTCCAGATCCTTCCTGTTTCCTGATTGGAGGAACAAGAAAGCAGTAACCCCCTTAGAATAATCCTAACCCAGTACTCCCAGGGCCAGGGTGGAGGTGTGTGTGGGAGGGAGGCATGAAGCCTCAATGTTCAAAGTGGCCTGGGAGACAGACTTGAGTGGGTCTGTGCTCTGGGTCATCCAGGAACATGGCAGGTGGAGGGACTGAACTACAGAAGTAGGCTTAGAGGGGATGTACATCATGCAGGAGGTTGGATAGGGCGTGGAGAAGTCCCTCTCAGTCCTCCAGAGCCCAGAAACTGGTAGGGCCTTCAAGGTGATCTTGTTGTGGTAAGGGACAGGGCCTTTATGCCACTAGCCCAGGCACTGGGTGAGGCAGATCTCTTTGGGGCTGAATGCCCCACAGCTGTCCTTGCCATTGGGAGCTACGCTCACGTCCCTCTCAGGATTCTCCATGTGAAGAAGAATGGTGCTACAGTGGTTAGAGGAATGGAGCCTGGGACCAGACCCCCAACCCAGGCTAGCCCCTCTTCTAGAAGGGAAGGGTTAGGTCACATATCTTGTCCCTGTCCCCTGGGCACTCTAGCTTCAACCTGTATAGTTCACAGATTAGTGCAGTGGTGTCCCTGGTGATGACAGTGGTGCAGTTGACCCTGTGTATCCTTCCAGACAAGGACTTTGGGGAATAGGATGAGCCCCAGCTCTGCAGATAAGGGAATGGCCTCAGAATGACACCATGCTGCTCACCTCTCCCGATGGGTGCTGGTACAGTGGCTCAGCTGCCAGTTTGAGGAGCCCCAGGCCAGGTGTGTTGGAAAGGGCTGACACAGGGACCACCTTGCTCCCATTAGGCAGGTCCAGGTGGGATACAATGTAAGACACAGTCTCCCCTGTAGCCAGGGAGTTTGAGGGAGCTGAGGAAGCATGTGGAAAGAGCATGTAGAGCAGGGTCCTCACTGACCCACACAGGAGAGCACCATAAACCAGGTAGTACCTTTGGAGACCATCGGCTGTCTCTGGTCTCCCGCCTCCACAGGCCCTCAGACCCGTGAGGCAGGGACATGGGGCTGTTCTGTCCCAGCCCAGAAGCCTGTGCTCCTTATGGGTCTCCCCCACAGAGGAGCAAGGCCTTTCTGCCAACGTGTGTGTGTGTGTGTGTGTGTGTGTGTGTGTGTGTGTGTGTGGCACTCTGGCCTGTTTGTATTTGAAGGACAGGGTGTCTGCAACAAAGATATGAGTGTGTGGTGAGGCTGCCAGAGAGGGAAGGGACTGTGCTTGCAGGTTGGCCTGTGGGAGCAGGGAGCAGCAGAGTGAGAACATGTGGCAGGTGAGCAGGCTGAGCCCCCTCCACTTCCAGGTCAGCCAGAGCAGCCTCACCATGCTGTCCTCACCATCGCCGGGCCAGCAAGTACAGACCCCGCAATCGATGCCCCCTCCCCCACAGCCGTCCCCGCAACCTGGCCAGCCCAGCTCACAGCCCAACTCCAACGTCAGGTAGGCCTGACTGGGGTGCCCCTCCCTGCCTGGCTCCCTGGGCGGGCCCTGCCCAGAGCCCTGGCTCACTGATAGCTTCTTTTTGCTTTGCTGCAGCTCCGGCCCAGCCCCATCCCCCAGTAGCTTCCTGCCCAGTCCCTCACCACAACCCTCCCAGAGTCCAGTGACAGCGCGCACCCCACAGAACTTCAGCGTTCCCTCACCGGGACCTTTAAATACCCCTGGTAAGTCAAGCTTGGGGTGGTCATGCCCCAAGACCCAGGCCCCCATCATGAGCCACACTCAAATCCCAGCAAGTTGAGGTGCTGAGGGTCCCCCCTCACCTCTCAAGGCCTTGGCTCATAATGAGTGGATGGATTCTGGAACCCCCAGAGCCAGTTGTGGGATGAGAACACACTCACCAGATTGTGTCCTGCAGTGAACCCCAGCTCAGTCATGAGCCCAGCTGGCTCTAGCCAGGCCGAGGAACAGCAGTACCTGGACAAGTTAAAGCAGCTGTCCAAGTACATCGAGCCCCTGCGCCGCATGATCAACAAGATCGACAAGAATGAAGGTAGGGGCCAGAGCTGGGGTGGGGTGGGGCCCATAGACACTCCAGGCATGTATCTTAGTGTCCCTTCTTCTGTCCCAGATAGGAAAAAAGACCTGAGTAAGATGAAGAGCCTTCTGGACATTCTCACAGACCCTTCTAAGAGGTGAGCTTGTCCCCCAACTCCTTGGGTAATAGAAGGTGCTTCTCCCACAGCTCATGGAAAGTCCCCAGGTGATTGGTTGACCCAGTCATAGACAGGCACTTGGTGACAGTGTGGAGTTTAAAGAAGGGATCTTCTTTAAGGGGCTGTACTTTGGTGTGTCTACTGGGGTTATAACCCACCAGTTTTGTTTTGCTATTGCCAGCAGCCAGCCTCTGTCCTACTCTGGACCACTGCTGTGGCCCTCACACTTCTGCCCTATGGCTGTCACAGCCATGCCTCATTGGGCTGCTGGCCAGGCCCAGCTGCCTCTGATAGACCTCAGGCTGACCTTCAGCCCTGACCCTGACTTGACAGTGTCTTTGGGCAAGTTCTCAGTTACCACATCTGCCAAGGGGGCATCTATAACTTGCACACCTTGGCTGTGAAACTGACAGCAGACAGTGCCTTGGGAAGCACTTGGAAGCAGTGCAGTGCCAGGTTCTCAACACTACACGTAGGCCCTTCCCTGCCTGCTGACCCCAGACTGCTGTGAGCACCAGAACTTGATCAGCGCAACAAAATGTTCACGGGCACCAGCATTTGTGTTGCTTCCCTCCTCCCGCCTTGGCTCGGGCTGCTTCCATTGGAGAGCGGGCCTCTCCGAGCTGGCCGGTTCTCTGGGCCCTCTTGGATTGATTCCTTGTTGGCGTTAGCGGACAGGGAGGTGAGCAGAGGTCTGACCTTCATCCCTCCCCTTGACCCTTCTCATGTATACCTTGTTATGCTGACCAGAGTTCTTGGGTAAGGGGCCACCTTGCCTTGGACTCTGTATCTGGGAATAGCTGGTCAACTGACAGGGATTCCTGTGGAAGGACTGGCTTTGTCCACACTGGGGAGGCCAAGTGGAAATGGTTGGAATAACCTGAGTGCATCCAGTTCTCAGGCATGGAGGGTCAGCCATGTTTGCTTTCCCTACCAGGTGCCCCCTGAAAACACTGCAGAAGTGTGAGATTGCTCTGGAGAAACTCAAGAATGACATGGCGGTGGTGAGTGGGGTGCCATGGCCTGGTGATTGTCGAAGAGCTATAGACATCTCTGGGGAGCTCAGTGCTGGGAAGAGACCTCATAGTCAAGGCCAGGTAGAGGGGCCATGCTGCTTAGCCTGGGAACCATGCTGGGGCAGAAGGGACCCTGTGGGTGCTTCCTTCATCCCCTGGATCTGAGCTTTTATGCATCTGCCACTTTTGCCATCGCGTGTCCACCTGTCGTGAGATCAGACCTGGGGGAGGCGGCGGCAGGGAGGGCCAGCCTGCAGGGGGTGACAGAATATGTCCAGCACAGACCATCTTTGTCTCCAGGGGTGGAGGTTGTGGGGAGCTGACTGTGAGTGAAAGTGTTTTGGGATCTGAAACTCCTCTCAGAATCAGACTGCTGACTCTACCTGTTTTGTTCCCAGCCCACGCCCCCACCACCTCCAGTGCCACCAACCAAACAACAGTACCTGTGCCAGCCACTCCTGGATGCCGTCCTGGCCAACATCCGCTCACCCGTCTTCAACCATTCCCTGTACCGCACATTTGTGCCGGCTATGACAGCCATCCATGGCCCACCCATCACGTGCGTACAGCCCAGGTCTTGGCCTCTTAGTGGGTGGTGGGCTGTGGGCCACAGTCTGACCTCGTGTGGTCACCGTGTCCGCCTCCTCCAGGGCCCCAGTGGTGTGCGCCCGGAAGCGTAGGTTTGAAGAGGATGAGCAGCAGAACATCCCCAATGTGCTCCAGGGGGAGGTGGCCAGGTTAGACCCCAAGTTCCTGGTGAACTTGGATCCTTCTCACTGCAGTAACAACGGCACCGTCCACCTGATATGCAAGTTGGGTGAGTGCCCGGGAGAGTGAGCCCTGAATTACAGCCCCAGGGCCCTGCCGCTTTTCTCCACCCATGCTGGGCCACTGCTTCCAAGTTGTGTCCAGTCCAGGCTGCACACTCCATCATGACATGCACACACGCATGCATGCTCATGTCAGCCCAAGGCGTACACAGCTCCCGTCCCTACTCACTGTCCTCAATCCTCACACACAGCTGGCCCAAAGCATGTGCAGAGGGCCAATTTGTGAGCCCACAAACTCCCCTCTCCCCAGTGCTGGGGAAGATCCTCCCCAGTCCAGCTGGCCCTGTTGGCCTGAGAATCAGAGCAACCTCCAGGCGTCACAGCAAGCCTCATCAGAACGTTCCTTCCGGGGTGGGAAGAGCCCTGTTTGCATCAGATCTGTGAGATAGAACAGGCCAGGCCCTTGGGCCAAGTCACAGATGTAGCTTCATATGTTGCAGATGACAAGGACCTCCCGAGTGTGCCGCCTCTGGAGCTCAGCGTGCCTGCCGACTACCCTGCCCAGAGTCCGCTGTGGATCGACCGACAGTGGCAGTACGGTGGGTGAACCAAGAGGACCATGGTGGGGAGGCCTCATGGCTGCCATCTAAGGGCCCAGGGCAGGCGGGGGTCTACTCTGGGCAACCAGGGTGTTCTATGTATAATGCCCCCAAACCAGGTCCTCCTTACCCTCCCCTTCTTCCTTTGTGGACTGGAATGGGTTGCCCAGTAGCCACTTGGAGAGAAAAGGGTATCTGCCCCTACTCTGTTCCTTTGCCTGTCCCACTGCTCTGGGGCAGCCATGTTCACAGGATGAGGGGTAACCTGAGCTAGCAACCCCCGTGTTCCTCTGAAGTCTGACCTGGGGCCACAGACAGGGTTCATGGGGACCCATCTGAGTGACAGGACATCAAGCCAGAGGCCCAGAGAGAACGCTATTGATAGTGACAGTTCCTTTCTCTGCCACCCACCCTGGTTTAGTTCTGGTGCACCGCAGGATCAGGACTGGGACCCTGAGACTGCTGGGCTCCAGGTCCATTCACTCTTCAGTTTACTGACTCATGATGCATGGCTGGGACGAGGATCTCTGTGTGGGAGATGGCATCCTAGTCCCCTTGGCTAGGTGGAGTCTCCTCCACAACTGTCTTATGCCTGCCAGGGCAGTCCATTCCTGTGCTAATGTGGGCTGGGGCCCTAGGGTGACTGTCCTGGTAGAGGACTCAGCACTCATGCCTGCTGTTCTGTTGCAGATGCCAACCCCTTCCTGCAGTCGGTGCACCAGTGCATGACCTCCAGGCTGCTGCAACTTCCCGACAAGCACTCTGTCACCGCCCTGCTCAACACTTGGGCACAAAGTATCCACCAGGCCTGCCTCTCAGCTGCCTAGCCACCACTGCTGCTCCCTCTTGGGCCACCCCTCCCCCAGCTGCCAGGGACCTCGTCGGGCCACAAAAGACACACGCCTCACATTGGACGTTTCTAGGTGTTGGCTTCCTTAGAGAGCCTGGACTTAGGTTAGCTTTCTTGCTTTTATCTTCTGTCTTGGGGACCTGCCAAACATTTCCCACACTTGTACAGGACTAGGACAGGTGACCATGGCGCTGGCTCTATCCTCCAGGAAGTCAGACGTGCTCTACCCTGTGCCCTCCAGGGCCCTTGTCCATGCTCAGCTCCTGGCGGAGTGCTCAGGGTCTTGTTGGAGCATCTTGTGTGTGAGTCTGAAAACATGTCTACTGTTTCAATAGCAGACATAGAGAACATAGGAAATCTTTAAAACACACAGATTTCTCTGATAAGTTTTGGGTTCAGACCATGCCACTGTTGGCATGTGGAGTGCCACAGAAGCTCCCAGATACAGGGATGCTGGCTGTGTCGCAGAGGGAGGGCTGGCCTACAGGTGGCTGCAAGTCCCCTGCCACCAACTGGGCCTTATACCTCACGGCATTCTTCCTTCAAGCCCTGGGGGCCCTCACAGCACTTGTGGGGGCACAGAGGGAGCAGGGACATCTGGGGTATCCTGCCCCGGCACTGTACCCACTAGTTGGACACTTGGCCCGCTGTCGGGTTAGGCTGCCATCCTTGGGACCTGGTGTCCTCGGAGCCCCTTCAGAGAGTGAGAGCTTCGTGGTGGGGCACCAGCCGGCCCTCTGATGATCAGAGTTTCTTCCTTTTATATGTGCACTACCATGTCATCTGTGGTTCTTATAATAAATTTATTATTCCTGTGTTTGCCATGAATTTATCACTATTTCCCCACCCGCAATGAGCAGGGCACCTACATCCAGTGAAGGACAATGTCAGGGCTGAGTTAGTTCCCCCGGACTTGGAGATGGCCACAGATACCCAGACTTTGGTTTACCCTCATCTGATAGTTCCTTGTCCTGGTTCAGCCCCAGGTTTCTGGTGAAGTTCCTGTAGCCCAAAGTGGGAAAAGGCAAAGATGAGCACTGAGGGAACAGCTGATAGGGCCGGAAGGACTGTCCTGCCAGGTGAGGATTGCCACTGAACTGACCACAGCCACGGGAGGGGACCGAAACTGCTGTTAGTGATGATTGAGGGCATGTGTGAGGTCCTCACAGGGTGGGTTGGCCCCTCAAGAGGACCATTCTTCTGTGGCTGTGGCCTTCATGGAGGATGGCAGACGTGGCAGGTACCTCATTGGCTGTGTGTGTCAGTTAAGACAGGAGGACGGCATCTTTACCCACTGCCCCCCTCCCAGCCCACCTGGGGTGTCCTATTGGTCAGGATACCTGTGTGACCATGTGCCTAGAAGACAGTTCCCGACCTGGTCAGGGGCAAGAATGCCTCATTGGCTCCAAGAGGGCCACTGTGCTCTTCAGCACAGCCCTGGACCCTGAGATGCTGAGGTGTCTGCCAGGAGGATCCAACTACAGCAGGGAGCAGGGCTCGTGGCAGACCACCAGGCGGTGATGCCTGATAGCCAGTGAGTGGTGAGACTTGCAAATGGGAGTAACGAGCTTTATTTCCAGTCTCCAGCGGGTAGGATAATACTTAGTTCATAATGTATTTTTGTGTAAATGCAGAATAGCAAAATATTGAGTAAAAAAATAACTCCTAAATTCTGAGACCAAGTACTTTATGTATGCCGTGAGTTTTGTTTATCTGAAACTTGGCTTAAGTGTTTTAGAATTCTTTTTAATTACTATCTAGTGAGGGTTAGTGTCTCCAGCTGCGAGGATGAGGCCAGTGGCCCTCAGAGCATGGAGCGGTGCAGTCGCCGGCTCTGCACAACCTGTAGCCTTTTCTGTCGCTCTGCAAAGTTACTCTTTAGAGACTGCTTCAGCGCGGGCAGGATGGCACGCTCCACCATGGGTGTTGGGCTCAGAATCAGGCTGGTGGGAGCAGAGGAAGGGTCTGTGCCTGGGCTCTCAGAAGCAGAGATGTGACAGGGAGCGATCCCCAGAGCCCAAGAGCTGCTGGCACCTGACAGGGTGAGCACCCCACCCATCCCAGGCCAGCGAGACTCACCATTTCTTAGAGATGCCCTTGGTGGGGACCTTGGGGAACTGCGTGGTCCCTGGGTGAAGGGCCTCCTGGTCCCTGAGTGAAGGAAGAGCCTGTGAGCCCCAGAAAACCGGGCCCCTCTCTTTTGGGGAGGGGCCCAAGCACGGGGCGCTTACTTGGGAGAACTCAGCCCAGCCTCCTCAGGGGCAGCCTTGAGCCGCTGGTTCCCTTCCAGAAGGGACTTTAGGTGCTGCAGCTGAAAGGCAGGGAGAAGGGCATGGAGGGTGGGTCCTGCTGACTCATCAGGGACAAGCCACCCCGCCTCCCCCAGTCCTGAGCCTCACCTCTTGGGCCTGCAAAAGGTTGGCATTCCATAGCTGGCGGATGACTACCTCACACTGTTGAAGTGTGGCGGGCTTGCGCAGGGCTGGGGGCAAGTTCATCAAGGGTGATGCCCCCATTGCCTGCTTGCCCTTGTGCTGGCTGCCTGCCACCGAGGTCGCCGCTGGATTGGAGATCTCCACTTGGTCATCTCTGAAACAGTCATTGCAGCAGCCCCCAGGCGGCCTGCTCAGATTGCCCTGACTGCCACCACCTCAACACAGGGCAGCACTGCCAGCATGGGGTGTGGAGGGTGGGTGCCCATGCAGCCTCCTTGGCCTGGTGGTTCTGTTCTGACCTGGGTGCTCTAGGCACCAGATGGAAACCTAGTTGTAACTCACCAGGGCTCGTCCCTTCCTCCCCTCTAATTTGAAGGCCAAATTACTTATAGTTACTTTGAGAAAATAGTTTAGGGGCTGCTATTGGCCCCTCTTGTGGGCTCACGTCAGTACAGGGACCCTGTGGAACCCCCAGAGGACAGAAAGGCAGTGTCCACCCAATGGATGAATCCATCCGCTTTCAGGAGCTTGGTTTGTGCTCAAGACAGACCATCTGGAAGGGCAAAGTGGTTTGCTGTTTCTAGGGTGTGAACCTAGCAAATGTAATCCCAGGATCGCTGGGTGCAGGTGAACCTTACTTGGGTGGGTTCATAATGTATTTACTTTTCTGTCCCCTGTGACCCGGGGACTTTGTCCAGTTTGTGAAGCAGGGCAGCAACCAGGGGCTCCTCATCTTGGTCCGTCTTCTGGGAAACAGTGGCTTTCAAATCTTGCTTCTTGGAGAAGCTTGGCTGGGACCTGGCCTTGCCTTGAGAGTTGGCTGTAGGTCAGACCCGGAGCTAGTCACTTAACCTTACCCTAGCGCTCCAAGATCAGCTCTGGGACCCAAGGAGCCTCCCCCAACCTCAGGTATCTCTTCTGTTAAAAAAAAAATCAAAATCAACAAACAACTATGAACCAGAGACACTCTATGGGGTGTGGGGGGCGGGGAAAGGAGGCATTGGGATCAAAATAAGGGGGGTGTAATTGTATGGGGAATATAAAAATAAAATTTAAATTAAAAAAAAATTAAAAAGAGGTGGTAATGGGCCTCCCCTGGTGGTGCAGCGGTTGAGCGCTGGGCTGCGAAGCTGCCCGCAGCCTCTGCAGCACTGGTTTGATACCAGGCCGCTGGTGAGGGTCCCACATGGCGCGCAGACCTCTCCTGCCGCCCGCTGCTCCCCTCAGCAGTGTATTTCGTCAGTCTGCCTGTTCTGCTCCCCGCTCTGGCTCTGGTGAATCCTCTCACCCTCCCTCGCTTCTGACTGTACCCAGTGCTTGTATAAATAAATAAATAAATCTTAAAAAAAAAAAAAAAGAAGAGGGGGTAACAGTCTGTCTTGTGGCTGAGGGACACAAATGTGGGTCTGAGGCTTCTTCAGCCTGTGAGTGGTGCCTCTTGAATGTTCTAAAGTGATGGCAATATGGAAGCTTGGCTCTCTGAAGCAAATGGCACAGGGAAAGCCCCAGACCTGCTAAATCAGTCTCCTCCCAGGCCTCTAATGGCTGGGGTGGGGTGGCCCAGAAAGCTGTTCCCTATGAACCCCATTTTGGGCAAAATGAAACTAAATGAGGTCTTAAATTTGGCCTGCACAGGTTAACTTTGAGGACAAGGTCTGCTGTTCACCAGAGTAGGGGCCACTCCTGGTGAGGATGCCTGGCCTCCCAGTGGCGGTAGCGTGAGAAGAGGCGCTCAGCATCTCTTGCTCTGCAAAGCCCAGGTCTCCAAAGATGGGCCATCCTGCTTGTGTCCTGCCTGCTTGAGGGGACACTGAGAGCAGGCTTCTGCAAGGCGGCCAGTGCACTGCCTCTCCTGGAAGACCACTCGGAAGCTCAGTGGGCACTCAGGACCCTCTGTCAAGAAGCTTGACTGTCCCTACCCCCACCCCACCCCCTTGGAATGGCCTTGCCGTGGGATCCAGCGCCCATGCTGTTTGCAGCCAGGCCTGCCCAGCTTTTTTTTTTTTTTTTTTTTTTTAATAGAGGCACGTTTTATTTATTTATTTATTTGTTTGTCCGTTTTGTTTATACAAGCACTGGGTACAGTCAGAAGCGCGGGAGGGTGAGAGAATTCACCAGAGCCAGAGCGGGGAGCAGAGCAGGCAGAAGGACCGAAGTACACTGCTGAGGGGAGCAGCGGGCGGCAGGAGAGGTCTGCGCGCCATGTGGGACCCTCCTCCGGTGGCCGGGGAGCAGCCGGGGATCGAACCGGCGCCGCAGAGGCTGCGGGCACAGGCCTGCCCAGCTTTTATAGCATCACCTCAAGGCCTCCCTTTGGCCAGCCTGTGGTCCTGTCCCACCCCATCTAAGTCTCCTTCCTGGTGGTTTCAGCTCACTGGGCACTTGGGGCTACCCTCCATGGCTCCCTTCAGCTGCTCCTTAACTCACTAGCCCATGAGACTCAACAAATGTGCTCCCCCAAGGTCCACCTAACAGAATTTTTAGAATTTTCAGCGCTGGTCAGTGCCCAGTGCCAGCCACCTAGGGCCCCAGCGAGGCACTTGTCCCCAGTACACAGAGGATGCTGGCACGCTCACCTGCCACTGATGAATTCGAGATGGACTTGATGGACTGAAAGCTGGAATTGGAGATGCTGCCTGTGGAGGACATGCAGGGGTCAGTCCAAAATGGCAGCAGTGACACTTCTGTCCCAGCTTCCCCAGCCCATAGTGGGTGAGGGGCTGCGCCCACCTGTGCCCACTTCCTGGCCTTGCAGACCCAGGCCCCACATTCATGTGGAGCCCCCCACCCACCCCCCAACACACACTCTGGTGAGTAGAGGCCTTGGGAAAGGTGGTTTTCTGAAGGATAATCCAGAAACGGGGCTTGGGAATGGAGAGGCAGAAGAATTGAATGGGGGGGTCCCCAGTGGGGCAGGCACTGTAGGGCAGGCACTAGTAAAGGGCCCTGCTGCTCATCCAGATAAACTCGCTGAAGCTGCTCTGCCCCACAGGAGAAGGGTGCCTACCACCCCACTCCGTTATGTCTCCCAGGAAAAGGAGAGCCTTGGGTACTCCCTAGACGGGGCATTCCAGGCTGCAACCACTCACTACTAAAACCTTCTGATGTCAGACCTGGCCCCAAAGTTGAAGTGGAAAGGGAACCCAAAACTCAAGCTGGGTGTCCCTGGACTGGGCTGGGGGAGAGGCGAGGAGAGTGGGCCACTATGAGGATGAGGAAAGGCCTCAGATGAATGGTAAGTTCTCTGCATTTCCTTCCCCCTGCCCCCATGGTCACTGTAGGGTTGGCAGGGAGGATCCCTGGAAGGCGTGTGCCCAGAGCCACCTGTCCCAGGGCACGATGGACCAGAGGCAGAGGGCTGAGGGTGGCCACAGAAGCAGTCTAGGTGCCCACTGTGCCTACCTCACAGACCTCAGGTCTTGGGCTCCTGAGAGCAACACCTGCTGTGCCGGGTGCATAGTCACCCAGGCCATGGCTGGAGGCACTGGCATCTGTCCTGCCAGGACACTCCTGGGGATAGCTTGTGTGTAGTAGGGTGGGCACAAGCTATCTAGGGCTGCTCTCCTTGGCAGTAACTTCCCACCAGGCCCCTGGGGCCTCGGTCTTACCTTTCTTCTGTGGCTTCTGATTCATTATTAGCTTGTATTGGAGATCTGAAAGCAAGCACATCTCTCCTGGTCACTTTTGAATCACAACCACTTTGATAGAAGATTGGCCTGCCCTACCCACTCCTTCCCTGCTGAGCCCTTGAGTCTCACCCATCACTTTGTCTACCACGACCACACCTTTGCTTTGGGTGCACTCGGGTTAGGAATGACTGGCTGTTCCCTGAGTCAGAGCTCCTCTGAGAATATCATCCAAAGTCTGTCACTCCATCTAGGCACCTGCAGGGTACTCTATCCTGCAGGGTCTGGGCACAGGGGTGGGTTGGGATGACTCAGCCTTTCTGAAGCATATGTGGTCAGTGCAACAATCAAGTGATGCCTGGGATGTGGGGAGGGGTGTCCTGAATATGAGTGGATAGTCAGTGGTAGGATATTTACCACTCAGGTGAAGGCAGTAGGAGAAAGGGGAGTGGGAAACTGAGGAAGGCCTAGATGTGTGGAGCCCTAGCTAAAGCTGAGGCCAGAGAGTGAAGCAGGGCTGCATTCTGCCTCAGACCTGGCCCTTGAGGGTGAGGAGTCCCTAGGGGTGGGAAGCCCGCCCTGAGGAATGAGGTGGGCGCAACACCCAGAGAGCGGGGCTTAGGGGCGAGCGGGACTGAATGGGGCCTGCATGTCTGCCCTCGATCAGGGTGTTTGTGAAAAATCATCTATATTCGAGTAATTTTTATTTCTATAGTAAGATTTTTCTTGGGTTATGGTAGGAAATAACTCAGCCAGCCTCCCCTACACCACCCCACCCACTACGAGTCAGATGGGTGGAACACATGGAGTGCATGATCCACAGTGACCTGGGAGCGGAAGCCCCCGCTGGCTGGACGCCAAACCCTAAAGTAGTCGAGAGTCCATGTGCTGTTTCTGTCTCGAACCCCAGCCGGACAGGATCCCGGCCCACGGCTCTGCCGCTGGCGCTCACCCTTGTTTTCCCGTTTGAGGTGCTCGATCTCCTCGTGGAGCTTGGCCAGCGTCTCCGAGTGCTGTTGCTGCAGGAACTGCAGACTCTTCTCCAGGTCCAGTACCCGCTTCTGCGCATCGCTGGGTCCGAGCTGCGTACTCTGCGGCCCGGAGTACTGGAGGGTCGTGGAGTAGCGCTGGCGCGGACGCGACGTGCCCCGGGAGCCTGGGGTGGTGGAGCTGGGGGACCGCTGCCCGGTCGCCACGCTCGCCAAGCTCATGTCTACCGCCAGCTGCCGCCTCCACTACAACCCCCTACTCGCTGGCCCGGCTACCCTGGCCTGGAGCCTCGTCGCCATGGAAACGGGCGCGGCCGTCCCGGTGCGGCTTGCGATGTGGGCGTGGCCGTGGATCAAGGGGCGTGGTTTGAGCTCGGGGGCGGGGCAGAGCGGTGCTGGGCTTGGGTGAACGCTCCCTGACTTAAAAAGACGTCTTCTGACTTAAAGGTCAGAGAATCATCTGCCTTTACACCAGCTCTTAATATTTAATTTTGTTTGCTTGCTCTGCTGAATAATCGATTACTGGTTCAAACATCAAAAGGTAGAGTCTCCACCTCCATTAATTGCAGAACCCTCATGCTTTATGACCTGTGGACAAATATGAACAGCTAGCTGCCCTAAGGCATTGGAGAAAGGCAAAAAAGCAGGTGGGAATGGGTGGAAGGCAACTTTTTTTTTTTTTTTACATCGTTCTTCCTTTTTGTGCAATGCATGCTTTCTCCTCTCAGGTGAAGTCCCTGCAAAATTCCCATTATCAAATCCACTCGAGCACCATCACCATAGTTCCCTGTGCAAGAACACAATCCTGCCCCTGTTTTGATCCCTCTCCCTCCCCGGCCTCTGCAGAGTGTCTCTGATTAACAGCTACCTGTTTATTTTGTTTCTTAATTTATCATAATTTTTTTTCTGGTCCCTTATTTGGCTCCCCTACATTCCTCCTGTAAGTGAAACCATCTGATATTTTCCTTTTTCCTTCTGGCTTATTTCACTGAGCATAATCCTGGAAGGCAACTCTTAAGAGAATTGCTTTTTCCTTTAAGGATTCTGTCTAGTCATTCAGACCTCAAGCAGGAAGTTTCAGGCTTATCTGCTATGGAAGGCAGAGCCTGGAGTTTAGGATGGCCACTACAAATGAAAATTGAGGGGTAGGAGCAGCCTGCGGGTCCTGGGAAGTTTGGCATCTCAGCAGTTGAGGACCCAGAATCTATAAGCTCCTTTCAAATACACATATGGTCCGAATTGTACATGAGATTCCAAAGAGCACAGGCTGGAATAACCCAAAATAGATTCATCTGCTACCAACCCAGGAGAGAGAGAGCTTGGAGTTTGACAGAGGAGCTCCCTAAATGGTTCAGTTTTTCATTAAGCCCCCCAAGAAGCCACAGTCTTGGAATAAAGATATATTCTAGAAATAAGGGTTTTGCATTAGGTACTTAAGGCAAAATCAAAATATAGCCACCTTAATAAAACTAAAATCCCAGCTTCCACAAGCTCATGTTCATCTTCTAGTAATTTAATTGTTCAGAGAACAAAAATCACTTTTCAGAGAATAACAGAACCATGGTCTATGAGAACCAGGGTATCTGATCTACTAGCATAAATACCAGAGATGCAGAGAGAAGCAGACAAATGTGACTAAGTCAAAGGGGGAAAATCCAAATTCAAGCCAACAGAACAGATCCACGAATACTTCCAGACAATAGAAGTAACATAGAGGTCCTTTATAATATACATGTTAAAAATCCATAGAGACTAGCCCACAAGATGGGAGTGGATGGAGGCAGGGGTGTCTGAGGAGGGCGGCTTCTTTCAGCTCTGCTGCTCGGGAGCCACCGCCTGCCAGCCAGGGAACTATCAGCTGCGGCCTGGCTCTGACACAAGAAGATGGTTGATCATTATGAAAATCCTAGAAACGTGGGATCACTTGACAGGACATCTAAAAATGTTGGAGCTGGCTTGGTAGAGGCTCCGGCATGAGGTGATGGGATAAAATTACAGATTCAAGTGGATGAAAATATTTGGCCGTGATTCTGCAATTGCCACCAGCTCATTAGCCACCGAATGGATGTAAGGGAAGACGAAGTGACTTTGCTGGCCTTGTTTACCCCACCAAACACACAGGAGTGTATCCTTCATACTGATAATATCAGCTGCAGCCTGGATAGGTGGAGGAAGCCTTGACCATCTAAAACACAGATATCGCCAAAGAAAACTCTACCTTCCTCTGGTAAAAGTGCACTGCTCCATGCAGGCTGAAGGTGCAATCAAGGCTACCCTGGCTGATGAAAAACTGAAACAAGAACCCAAAAAAGAAAGGGAGAAGAAGAAATGAGTCTTTGGCAAAGCCCTTGGCAGTTTGCCCACTAGAGGTGCAAGCAAACATGGTCAGAAGCCCCGCACACTAAAAAAATAAATAATCTATAGAAAAAGATGACTATAGTGATTGAAACTATGCAGATTTTTTAAAACAATTGGGAAAGTGTTTTTTAAAAAAGGAAATCCTAGAACTGCAAGTATGTCTGGACTTCGGTCTGGCTAGTAAGGAACGTGGAAGTCATCACTTCTTCACATAAAAAACTGAGCACCTTAAAAATCAGAGAATTGAGATAGCAGGGTGAGCAGACCCCAAAATTGGACATGCAGACATACACAGAGAATCACACATTACTGGAGCAGAATACCTGCAAGCAGAAACCTCTGCAGGAACCAGTACCAAGGTAGGAAAATCTAAAGTATTGATCTAATTGATAATTTACTGATGTGACGCATTTGAGAGTGGAAAAATTTTGAGGGTTAAAAATTAGAGGTCCAACCTTAAGAGGCCCACACACTCTTGTGCACTTACCTGTCAATTCTCACAGGGGAGAATGGAAAAAGCCCGCTTGTGCTTCCTGCAGGAGGAGGAACAATGTTGTTCACATTGCCTGTGAAAGCAGCTGGAGTCCCATGAATAGGAATCCTGCCTGAGAACAGCCTTGTGACCCTCTTACTAGCACTTCACAGCAGAGGCAGAAAGGAGATCCTAGGTTTGCATGGCGAAACTATCGGTAATCTTCCTAGAGTTGATAAAACTTTTTTTGTGTTTAGATTTACTTTTATTTATTTTTATGCATACAAGAACTGGGATGTAGGCCAGCGGTGTGGGGTGGGGGGTGAGAGAAGAGGGTGAGTGAGGAGCAGAACAGGCAAATCTACTGAAATACACCGCTGAGGGGAGCAGCGGATGAAACAGGAGAGGTCTGCTGGGCCACGTGGGTAGCTCCCTGGCCGGGAATAGAACTCTTGCTGCAGTGGCTGGCGGTCGCTTGATGTGCTGAGACTTTAACCCCTCTGCCACCAGGGAGGCCCAAGTTGACAAAATTTAACTGTCACTGTCTCCTTCAGGAGCTGTCAAGGACTGGGTGATATTAGAAGTTTGGACCAAATTTTAGACCTGAGCTGGACTGAGAGGGGAGATGGTGATCCTCAAGGAAGCGTCTGCGAACATCACCTTGGAGGAGGGATAGAATCATGCTCAGAGGACCCTATACTGGACACCTATAGTAGTCTGGGGTCACTGGGGCACTGCATTAACAAACTTGAGGTGGTCATCAGGTTGAAGGAAAGAGCAGAGTCATGGCCTGTGGAAAAAAAAAACAAACCAGAGCCTTTCAGATATCTGGTCTATGGATGACCTGATAGAAACCAATCAGGAAAATTAAGGTGGGCATTTCTTGAAAGTTGTAATCACCAAGAGAAAAATAACTAATGAGGCAACAGATTTAGGGAAAACATTTAATTTGAACTCAATCCATATTTTAAAACTGATTATAAATAATGGAAATTATTCAGGAGCAAAACAAAGTAAAAAAGGCAAACTGACTGGCATTTTATCAGAGTCTAAATTGACCTCAAATAACCTACTCTAGTCCCATTCCCTTTTCCTTAATAACATATTAATAGGGTTCCTTTACAAAAACAGGGACATACAGAGTCAGGCCATAGGTAGGAGCTGGGTGCCCCCATGCAGCCTGGGTCCTGGGCAGGGGGATCCAGCCCATCCCCACATGGCCTGAGCTGAAGGCCGGGGGTGGGGGTTGGGAGCAGGTCAAGTCAGGGTGTTCCCCTCTGGGCTGACCCCCACTTCATTCAGATCAGTGCAAGTCATCCATTATTCAGGTGCCCCCACTGCTGACCTCCAGGAGATGAGCGAGACAAATCACATCTCTGGACACAGTCATGGTCTTAGGCCCACCCAAATAGCATGGTCAGAGCCACAAGAGGTAAGACCGTGGGATGAGCTGGTGTGGTGACCTCTCACATGAACTCGGTCTGTAATATCTCTGGGGGCTGTGGCCCAAACCCCTGTGCCAGAGATGCATGTAATGTGAGTGAGGCCTCCTTTCCAACTCAGGGAGGAAAACATCAGAGCTGTGACTGGGGACCCAGGGCAGGACTGGAAACCATGAAAAGAGACAAGAGGAGCTGGACTGACCACCTGCTGGTGTCTGTCCCCTCCGGAGAACTTCCCCACCCACATTGACTGGGAGTTGGGCTCCCAGCGCCGGAATTGTAAGACTCAGAAGCAGCATGTGACAGTCATCGGAATGGATGGGACAATCAGTGTGAAGGAGGAGGCACAGAACCCAGAGACCACACCTGTCTGGAGAACAGGACAGTCTCCTATACCATAGGGATTCCCAAAATCAAGGAGTCTGGAGAACCACTCCACACCTGCCCTGCAAGAGGTTCCTGAAGTGCTCGGCCTCGCTACCTGCCTCCCAGTTGCCCCTGGGGACTTGAGCTGTCTGGTCTGCTGTGGCCCAGGAGCGCAGGTCCTCGCCCAGGAAAAGGAATAGGCTGCAGGAAAAGGATAAAGCTCCTGGACCAAACATTAATCTAAAGCATACAGCACGGGAGGAGTAGGAATGATCGGAACAGGGGAGGGAGATGCAGGGGAGAAGGGTGGTGGATTTGGGGGTGGAATATGGGTGAGAGAGCCGCATGTAAGGGGAACAATAACTATACAAAGTGACCAACAATGTAAGACAATAGAAAAATTCTAAAATTAAACAAACAAACAAACAGGGAAATACAAGTGAAGAACTGCCCATCTCAGACCTTGTTTACAAAGTTTCTGGGAAAGATCAAAAATAGTAGGAATCACAAAGATGAGGACAACAGGAAATTTTTGCTTCGGACACCTATGGCTATAGCAAACAACATGGACTAAACCCTTGTAAACATAAAACTTCATACTGAAGATCTATTTACCTCAGTTTCTCCAATAATAATGCCCAATAACAATAGTGTGTCCAACTTTTAACAA